TGAGCCAAGTGCTCCTTCAACCGCGAATGTCGTCGTGCTTTGAAACTCTTCTTGCGGATGTCGGATGGCCTCTCCGACGCCCAAGCGTTGTCTCGTAAGGCATTATATCGATTGTTAGTTAGGGGGGCCTTTCAAAATGGTCCGATCGACGAGCTCGGTCTTACGAAGCAGGAAGCTCGCTCGATATGGCCTTGGGTGCCTGGGTTGAAATGTCTCAATAATGATGAGGCATCACTCACCTGGCTGATGATTCGTGGGGCCCTCTGAGTCGGCAAAAGACTTTGTTCAGCAGGCTTGGAGAAATATCCAAACTGTCGTCGCTGTACTGGGAAAGTCGAGACCATTGGTCACGCCTTTTTTCAGTGCAAGACGGTAGTGCCGTTGTGCAGGTTTGTTGAAGGCCTCATGGTTCGCATGCTGCAGGGAAAGTTTTTTGTCCTGGAAGCCAGTTCTGTTTGTAGCAATGTGGTGCCGCAATTGACGAAGGCTGAACACTATGTGTTCTGTTGCTTACTAGGTGTTATGAGAGTCGTGATTTGGACGACGCGTCAGAAGGAATTCTATGATGGCGAGAAGTTCACCTCTTCCCAACTGATCTTGTTCTTTTGAGCATCAGTTTAAAGTCAAGATTAGGACGGAAAGGCGGCGGCTCCCCTCATCAGAATTTGGCAAAAGGTGGGTGAATCTTGCGCGAATGTGTAGAGTGAAAGGGGCTGACCTAGAGTGGCATTTGGATGTCGGTTAGGTACAGAATTTTGTCCTAACAGGGTTGAACATAGGCAACCCATCCCAGATATTAGGCTAGTTTAGGTTTTGTTTTTGATTTTTAGTTTTTTTTTTTTTTTACTGGTTAATTTAGCTAGGGTTTGCATGCTCATTGGCCCCTTTTTATTTCTGTCCCTATTTTTCTTTTGTTTAATTCCCCATTCCCTCCCTCGTTAGGTGGTTAGTGATGTCAGTTCTCTGGTGGATGCGGGGCGACTTTCGTTTCGAATGGGTGAATTTTCGTATTTGTTGTTGTGTTTGAATGTGTGTATGCCTGTGTGAATGCTTGGAGGTATGAATGTTTTCCTGATTTTTATAGTCCCGCATTGATTTCGTCCGGTTAACTTATGTTTCTGCCACATTTATGGTTTGTGGGGGGGTTTTATTACCCACACAACGTTTTGTTTATTTTCTTGTAAATATTATGGCATATTGTATATATATATTTGGGGATTTTTTTTAAAAAAAAGTGTTGAATTATGCCCCTCCCCCTAGGAACAATATTTGTACATAGGGGGACTAGTTAGGATTTCATAGAGAATTTGAGGTATTATGGTGGACGTAGTAAGAAAGGTAGGAGTGACATGTGTTGTTTTGGTGATAGGAATATTGTTGGTTTGTTTGGGTCCGTGTCTGGGTCTAGCTAAGGTTAAGAATTAAGACAGAAGAAGACCGTCCTTCCCCATTTTCCTTTTAGGCCTTTCAACACATTTTATACCTTTTACGTTGTCTCAAATATCCAAACTGTTCGACACTGAAAAACGATCCCCGAATTCAGTGGTGATACCTAGTGGACAGTCTGTGGTTGAAAAGGATGTAATCTAGGTCTGGTCTACGATTGTATTGATATCATTGTTTGAACGGATTGTTCCACTGCGTATCGGGGGGCACCTTTGTGTATCAGCACCTGAGCAAAGAACAGAAAAGTGACATTGAGCAAATTCATGTTTGTAGTTCTTTCTTTTTTAAAACTTTTTTCCTCGAGATTGATTTGATTAGCAAATGCAAAAATTCGAGGGTTTTGACGAAACGAGTGGAAGAATAAGATATATATATATATATATATATATATATATATATATATATATACCTATATATTCGTGTATTTAAATATATATATATATGTATATTTAAATATATATATATGGATATATATGTAAGCAAATATATGGACATAGATCCGACATATCAAGAAAATATACGGAAAAAGAGGAAATCCTAATATAATTATGCAGTTTTAATATAATGTCCGACGTTGACATTATATTAACATTAAAACTGCATAATTGCATATTATGGCGATTTGTTTGTTTTTTCCGTATATTTTTTTCATGGATATATATACAGTGAGGGGGAAATTAATATTCGAACACTTGAAAAATTCTATTTTTATAAATGTAAAAATGCCTTAAAATAAAACAAAAAGCTCAGTCATTTTATGTATAAAGACACATACTATTAAAAATAATAATAAACTTAATTAATTCTTATTCTAACAGAAATTAATGCATTTTTCTAATTCTAACTGGTGAAAAAAGTATTCGTACAAATCAATTATTAGAATAAAATAATCAATTAATTATGAAAAAAGTATATTCTAGAATGTTCCAGTAATGTTATCAGTAATTATAGATAACTCTATGAGCCATTATCAGAGCATTCTGCAATTTCTAGTTTTACGGGAAGGTTGTAATAATGCCTAAAGGTAAAGAATTGACTATTTCACAAAAAACAACACATTTTGTCTCTTTGGAAAGATAGCAAGAGTTACGGAACGATTTCTAACAACCTGAATATTTCTTTTACTACAACTGCTTCATTCATTGCAAGGTTTAAAAGTCGTAACAGCGTCGAAAACCCAAGACGAACAGGTGCCCCGAGGAATACTTCTCTAAGATCAGCAAGGATATTAGGACGCCAGATCCAACAAAATCCACAGGTTACCGAGGCAGAAGAGCTGCAGGAACATCTGCGTGCATTAATATTAAAGTAACCAAAGCGTACAATAAGTAATGAACTACACAAAACAATCTGAAATCACGCATCCCAAGGAAGACTCCACCTCTTGAAAAGACACAGAGATGCTAGGCTAAAAATTCATTAGAGAGCATAAGGATAAAGAATATTCGTTTTTTGGGAAAAAGCATGGACAGATGAAACTAAAATGGAGTTGTTTGGTCATAATTATCGAAATCATGCATTCTGACGGTGAAGCCTACTTACCAAAGAACACGTTGCCAACTCTAAAGATTTGTGGTGGTAGTATCATTGATCTGGGTTTGTTTTTTCGGCAAAAGGTGTTGGCAGAATATCAATAATAGATGGCAAGATGAATGCCGAAAGATACCAGAAAATCCTGCAAGACAATTTAATGCGTTCTGTTGAGAAACTTTTTACCTCCTGATTGGGTTTTCCAACTGGATAATGATCTTTAGCATACCGCTAGATCTACAAGGATATGGTTAGCTGAATGTAACGTTGATGTCTTGCAATGGCCAAGTCAGTCC